ACGGAGCTCGCGAACGGACAGAATACGGATTATTCGGAATAATGTACTGCGATTTCTTGAAAACGGTTCGCGTGCGGTCCGTATGCCGGTTCCTATTTCAACCTCGCGCGAACGCGAAGCGTCCGTAACGGATTGTTCGCAAATCACCTGTGAAGCAAATGGGGGAGTAGACGTTGGGGAAGGAGGGTTGCTGGCTTATGAGGCACTTCTGACCCACACAGTTGCCTGGGAAGGGTCAAACTCCATCTGTCGCTTCATAGTGTACAGTACCGTTCAATAAGATACCGTAAAACCTCTAATAGAACGACACCCGGATCGTCCACTTTGAGTCTATATATCTCACTTCTTTTGAAAGATATCAAAAAGTGGTTAACTAATAAAATGTTTATCAGGTTATCAGCAACATTTTACCAGTTAGCCACTTTTCGATATCTTTCACAGAAAATGAGATATATAGGCTCAAAGTGGACGATCCGGGTGTCGTTCTATTAGAGGTTTTACGGTAATTTTATGAAGTTTGGCAGAATTTGACATACCTATAAGCCCCTCCAATTTCTTTCTTTATTGTGTCCAACTCGCGAAACAGATTTTCACATGGTCTTCGTCCAAAATTCCAGATCGTTCCAATTTCTTTTCCATTCTCCATCCAAAACTCGATCAAATCCATTATCCTGGCTTGTTCGTACAATCGATAATCAATAAAAATGTTCTTATTTGGGAGTTTTTGAAATTCCGAGAGCCATAGTTCTTGTTCATCTTCCTCTTCTTCTTCCTCTTCATTGCCGTCTTCTCCGTCAGATTCAGAACCAGAATCGTCTGAATCCTCATCATGAACTCCCCAAATTTCCACATTCTGTGCTGTTCGAAAAACTAGATTCTGGAGATTATGGAGCCGCGCATTTTCCAGTTTCAAAGTCTCCAATGGCAAACATGAGGAATCTAGAATTGGAAGAATCTCTTCGAAATCCGTCCTCTCGGAGTTAAGAGTTTTAACCCAGATTTTCAGATTCTCAGGGAGTCTTAAAATATCTCCCTTCTTCAAATCCAACACCAACTCATCTGCCACTTTAATAGGGGTTTTTCGTCCACCCAGTAAGAAGTTGAACAACTTTTTCAAAGCCATATGGATTTCTAGGTTCTGCGGAAGCCTTCGAACACTTTCATCTCCGAATTCATTCTCAATTCGAAGCTTAACAAATTTTCGATACTTTGAAAGAAAATTTCCGTCAATTTGAATTTCACCTAGAGCCAAGGATTCTCTAGATGATTTATCCTCTTTTTGGCTCTGACTTTCCACGTATTTTTGCTCACAATGACTCAGTTGATATGACATCTTGTTGACTTGGATACAGTTGGTCCGGAATTCCAAAAAATCTGGGCGAAGTGGTGTGGATTTGTCAATGGTGTAAAGAGCGGGACATCGGGAGGTTTGATTGATTCTGAAAATGGCATTTAGTGATTTTAGAGCTTCAGAATGAGCTTAAGTACACTAGAATATATCAAAATTGAATTGTTTGAAAGCTAAACCTCAAAAATGCAATTATAAAGCTCTGAAACTCAAAAAGCATATTTTCTATTTGCTTCCATAAACTCGAAAATCGGTCCCATTGCTGGATAGGCAAGTGTGACAGACATTGCAAGTAGGGAATGTAAGACGAATGAATGAGTAGACGTCGGAGAAGGAGGGTGGGTGGCTAGTGAGGCTCTTCTGGCACACACAGTTTGCTGAGTACTGTCCGCATGACCTTGGTGACGTGGCAAATCCCACCCGTCACCTTCTCGGGTGTGTGTGCTGCATTCCCAGGATCAGATATAACGGTTTTACCGAGCAGATAGAGTTTTGGCAAATAGCTGCAAATCTAGGAATTTTCACAAAGTTCTGTGCATGCAAAGTTTTTAATCTAGGCCTGCTTTACAGGCTCCAAAATTTTCAAAGGGATCGGAGACTTGACAGCGGAGATCTGGACTCCTGAAATTGGCCAAAATGTCCAAAATCAAATGAAGAACATAATGTTGTATACCGTAAAACCTCTAATAGAACGACACCCGGATCGTCCACTTTGAGCCTAT